AGAGAGGTGTTCCAGGATATAACCTCATTCAAATGCAGCCATTGCCAAAAGCCTAGACATTGGAGGTAGCATTCTTCTTCATACCTTCATATTTCCTATCTGAAGTTGCCCTGATTGGGTTAATGGGAATTATTCGAGAGAGTTGTGAGCATGTTTTTTTAAAAAACCCTTTTTCATCCTGTTGTCTCACACAGGTTACCATTGTGGGAATAGAACAGTTATTGATAGTATTTCGAACCTGCTGATATCACTGGAGGAATTTATATCTTATTATTTTGAACCCACAAGTAGGCCAAGATAACTTTACTTCTTCTGTGAAAATTGATACACATTAAACAGTTAGGAGTTCTGCCAAATATTGTTTTGTTACTGTTTACACTACAGCTATATTATTTTTCTGTATTGTGCTTGATTTATTTGATGTACCAGCTGGAGCCATTGGAAGGAGGTAGTTTATAAATCTTACAAATAGGGAATGAATGCCTTCTAAGACATGCTGGATCAGTAACAAAGAGGTTTAATTTTCTTTCTTGTGTTTCAGTAGCCATGATCAATCATTCAAAGTGATGGATTCTATTCAATCACTTCTTAAATAAATAATACAGTCTTGAGCTGAGCTGATACCCTACTTTTCTTTTATTTCAAATCCAACTTCCAGCAGTTCCAACTGCTGACATCTTTGAGTCTTAATTGCTTAAAGGGCCTGTAGTCAATTAAAATATAATATTTTTTCCTTATTTTTTTCCTACTCAGTCTCTATGAGGGACTTCAGAACATACAAGCACTCTCAGTACTCCCATTTGTAGCATCTGAAAGCAACTGTGCCTTCTTTCCTGAGATCATGTAAGTGTTGTACATGTAAGTACAGGGTCTTCTGCTCAAGCAACGGGTTGGTCTAGATGACCTCCAAGACCCTTCCAACACTATTATTCTATATTTTATGATCCCAGGAAAGGCAGCAACTGCATATGGATGTTAAAGTAAGTTTGTGTACACCAAAGCACATTCTGGAGAGCAAAATAACAAACAACAGGAGAAAGAGGAATTAACTAAGTAAACCAAAACCTTAATCAAAACATTCTTTAGCATTGGTCTCTGGACCACTACTTATCTGATCACATAACCATCCTCCATGCACATGGACATGTACACAAAAGTTATTTCCCCTGATCAAGCTCCCAATATTAGCGCTTGGATTGTTGGTGGGGAGGCAGACCCAAGCACCCTACATTTGCAAATGAGGCACTAGTTGGCTTTACCTCACTCCTTCCACCCAACATTAAGCAGCAAAGCAGAACAATCCTACTTTACAGAATTACTGGCCAACAGCAATTTAACTAAGCCCTTTACCAAATCTCAGGCCATGTTTTTTGTTCATAGTTTAGTGTCTCATGTGAACAAAGAAAATTGAGATGAGAAAACTATGATGATAAATTAGGAACATACTGTAATATTGTGTCAACATGCTCTCTTAATTGTATGAGAAGACAACTAGGAAAAGCAACTATGAGGCAAGTAGATCCAATTTGGAAGTTTTAAAGAGAAGACAATGTAATGCCAGATATTTGGCTAAATTACTGTCTTCCTTCTCCCACTGTAAAAATGAAAAAATTATTTCCATTGCTTTCTCAATGCTGTAGTTTTATGGAAATTTTCAATATATTCACCTTGTTTATTGCTGAGTGAGTGAAAGTTAGTAATTTTTTTCTTTCTGTTTCTTCCTGCTCAAGCTCATGTTTAAGGAATTTAAGCTTATAATTAGAGCTGAAGGAGAAATCATTGCAAAGCCCACCAAAAACTAGACTGATAAAATAGAACCTATTCCTCAGCCAATATGAAACAGAAAGAAAGCTCAGTTTCTTACTGCTAACTGTGCAAGACATCAGTTGGATATAATGCAGCCAAAACCTATGTGGTATGTGGTTTTAGTGGCATTTTCATGTAATTAGAGGATTCTTATGAAGGATGAGAAAATGAAACACCCCATTTTGGGGGTGGGTGGGGATAAAGTGACATCCAGTTGTTCCTACAGCTAAATTGAAAAGCTTTTATTCTACATGAAAATGCAAAATCCAGCTCAAAAAGGGATTAGAGATAGCTGGGGTTGTGAAATCAAAATACTTTCTCTTGGGAACCAAGGATGTTCTCACACCTGGACAGAGGAGTGATGTCAACAGATATATGGGCCATGTGACTGATCATTTGGGATTGGGGAGAAAACTTTTCTTTTAATTAGGTGAAAACCAAGGGACTCTTCAGAGTCTGTTTTCACCAGATATATGCCAATATATTTCCAATAAAGCTATTATTTGAAGCTATCTGCCTCTTGAGTTTTTGCTTGCAATGGATCTATTGCTTGCAACCCTGACATGCTACATAGAAGATAAGCATCCTGAGTCCTGAAATATGGCATGCATCTTCTGCCAGATTATACAACAGAAACCATAGGAGACCGGCAGTCATTCAAATAACCTGCCATAAAGGGCTTTATAGGTAATAACCAGCATGTTAAATTGCTCCCCAGAACACATTAACCAATGGATCTTGTGGAAGCGAGACGTCACATAGGCACAGTGAGATAAGCCCATCGTTGCTTCTGTTGCTCTGCATTCTAGACCAGCTGAAGCTTCTTAGTAGTCTTCAAAGGAACCCCACATACAGTTCATGTATTAATTTTCTACATAAGGCAGTGAGTAGACAAGGATGTGAATGGTTGTCTTGAGAATTGACCAAGTCCTATACTATTTGCTTTTGCTTCTATAAATCGTGTCGAGCAGTGTTCACCTTGCCTCACCAACTGAAATCCGAAGCAATTTTTACTTTATATCTATCCTTGACACCCAGACAGCTCCACTCACTCTCACAAAGTTGCATGTTGAATCCAGGCCTTGAGAGTAACCTTAATCCAGTCCTGTCCTCTATGTAGGGTCTATTACTGCAGCAGCTCCAAACAAAGGTAATTAAAATTCTCCTTAAACACCTCAGTTCTTTCAATTTTGGTGATATGTACCTTTATGTATTATTAAACTTTCATAATTTATATGTAAATTTAAATTCTATATTTTTACTTATTCTATATTTTTACTCATTTTTATTTAAGAGATGATTCATTGTGGCACTTAAAACAGAAAGTCTGTAAAAAGTTTTTTTTTAAATGAAGAATTCTAAGTATTCTCCAGACAATACATAAAACTGTCCAAAACATTACATACATACATTTTATTCTACAGCTTTTATTCTCTCTCTCTCTCTCTCTCTCTCTCTCTCTCTCTTTTCTCTCACCAGCACCCTCTAGTGGACTACAGTTTTAGAAGGTTGGCAAAAAGTAATAAAAGAAAATATTAGCTAAATGTCTATGGAGATTCTGAATCATCCAGGTCATGGCTGTTCCAAAGGTGATTTTATAAGAGGTAACTGGACTTTCTGATTTCTTTGAAGATGTTTCACTTCTTTGGGAAGTCTTCTGAACTTATCTAGACTATCTTCTTATTTAGCATAAGTAGGCTAGGATTAGAGTAGGGAGGTCCTACACGTAAAAGAACATTGGGGAAAAGTCATTGTTTGAAACAAGCTGCTAAATCTTATTGTGGCCAATCCAGTTCTATTGCCCAACTAATGCTGATCAATGCAGGTACTCCTGCTGAGGGGGCAGGAGGTCCCCATTTGCATCATTGGCCTCCTAAACAAAGATAGGTTGACACTACAACAAGAATGAAAGTAGAAACATTTTGTTATTTTTTTAAGCAAATGTTTTATTATTGAAATACCCACCCGTTATTTGTTAAATCTGTACATGCATTTGTTTCATTTGGAAGTGGTTTCTAAAAACAAAAACAAAAAAATCCAAAATGACTCCAGCATTCTTCTGTTCAGAGCTGAATCCAAGAGAACAAGAACCATCACAAAAACACTTTATCAGTGAAGTTTATCAAATGAAGCATGAAGTGATACCTATACAGCCTTTCATTCAAAAATGAAACAGTGACTGATGGATGATGGCAGTAGGACAAGAGTCAACCTGGACCATTATTTCAAATAAAATGACCAATGTTTGCTACACTGTTAATGTGAAATGATTCAAATGATGGGACTCTGAATCATCCAAGTGTCTTACTGCGCAAAATCTAGCAAAATCACTCCTTGTTATAGTTATATAAGAAATTATAATATTTGAAAGGTAGGAAAGCATGGGAATGCAGGTACTCTTAACTAGATTTGGTCTCTAAATTATGTCAAACCCATTTCATTCTCCCTCAGTAGACAAAGATCAAGTTTCCTATTTGCAAAAAGTATCTTCTGTGCTGTGAGATGATGGAACGTAGCATTCATGCTTTCATCTATATATTAATAATTGTTAATGTAAGGGACTTGTAGTTCTGGACATGTTAAGTTTTCCTGGTTGCCTTTTTTGGCACACCTCAAATGGAAGCTCTCCATGCAGAACCAGAGCCATGGTATCAGGAGAGAATGCTAATCATACTGTGACCACAATCTTGACTTTCATTTTCACAGTTTTATGTACTAGCAGCCTTTCCTTAATATGGAAGGAGAGATTTCCCTTGTGAAACTGGGCTGTTTCCTTGCATCACCTTAGAAGAGAGTCCCAAACTTGGCAACTTTAAGACTTGTGGACTTCAACTCCCAGAATTCTGGCAGTTGAAGTCCATAAGTCTTAAAGTTGCCAAGTTTGGAGGCCTCTGCCTTAGAATATAGATGTTCACATGGCTTTTGAATAGAGAAGCATCTCCCAGTAAAAATATCAACAGTAAGTTCTTCACAGTGACTCCTGCAACATGGGTTCTGGTGGCAACTACAGTGACCCCAAGGTCACACGATCCCCAACCAGGGAGGCAAGAAGAGCTATGTACTTTCCTTGGTACATATAAACTAAAGGGCAGAAAAAGTGTTCCCTGCCACTATTGGCATGAACAATAATCAATTCTGTATAAGTTTACCATTGAACAAAGAGAAGACAGAATTACAGAAGATTCATACTAACGTGACTGGAAATATGTATAGAGTCTCCGTCACCACCTCATATAAAGTTGGCAAACCAGGAGTAGATGTCAGAGAGCCAGGACAGACTCATCCTTGGAGAAGCGATCACTAAAATGTCTCCAATGTAATGGATTCCCAAAGGGAGGAGTATGGTAGAAAGGAGAAAAATGATATCACATTTTCCATATCATACATCCCTGTCCAAAAGGTAAACGGTGGTATTTTAAGCTTACAGTCCAATTCTTGATCTGGCTGGTATCAATTCAATAGATCAGAGGAACTGAAGCTAAAAAAAGATACAGGCATCCGATTATTTAGAGGAGAGACGTTCCTCTCTACAGCGTGTATTTCTAAAAGCATGTGATTAAAAAAAATAAACCACAGAAGCTAAAGCCCCCTCCCTCCAAACCTTCCTCAATGAACAGTATAAGGATTATGTACATAGAGCAAACAGCTGCAACAACCGGAATATGGGAATACTCTAAGCTTAGTCACAATCAACAAATGTGGATAAAAGGAAGGGAGGGAGAGGTGCTGGCAATAAAGGTGCAGGGTATCTCACAAGGAGAAGAAGATTTAAATGGCCTGTTTCATAAAAGAAGAGTCAAGAGATAAAAGGAGGCTGCCCAAGTCCCTCAAATAATTCATCAATACCACACAACCTAATCGAACTGCAGCAACACTGCAGAGTTGTCACCAGAGGGATGAAGATAGCCTGGATTTAAGAAAAGGGCATTCCATGTGTTCTGGGGCAGCTCTCAAGACCAGCAGTCTCTCAGTACTTGGGCACTTTGGTGTAATCTTCAGTGTGAATGTTCTTGCAGAGGCAGATAGACAGCACCATTCCCAGCAACTGCAAGAGAAAAAGGAAGGAAGGATGAAAAGGCTGGTTCTTTGCACTTATAAAGAAATGGAGAATCCCTGGCCAGAATTTAGCTGTTCAGCGATTATTCAGATTTAGACCAAACAGATTCTTATAATGGAACCTAAGACTAAGCCAAAGTGCATTTTCTGGTTTTAGAACTTAGACTTATATACCGCTTCACAGTGCTTTTACAGTCCACTCTAAGCAGTTTACAGAGTCAGCATACTGACCCCAACAATAGGCCCTCATTTTAGCAACCTTGGAAGACTGAGTCAACCTTGAACCAATAAGAATCGAACTGCTGAACTGCAGGCAGCTGGCAATCAGCAGAAGAATCCTGCAATACTGCATTCTAACCACTGCACCACCACATGTTTTATCTCAACTTCCTTCATCTTCTCAGTCTTCTTGGTTCTCCTCCGATTGTCAAAGCTGCAATTATAAGCTCCTCCAGAGAGGGAGCTATATTTTGCTAAAATTACTGTGAAAAGCACTTTCATAGTATGAGTTTTACTACAGTTAGTTCTTACTTACTGATGATCATTGGGAGTAGGGATTCCATTGCTAAGCAATGCAATCATAATGTAGGGCATCACATGACTGCACCAAATTATGATGATAGTTCCAGTAGTCCAGTAGTCCCCATTGCTGTTGTTAAGTGAATCCTATGAGATTGCAGCATTCCACAGTCACATAATTCCCTACTGACTTTGCTTGTTGGAAGCTGGAACAAATTCTGATCACTTGACCACAGGATATTGCAACATTGCAATTGCGTGCAGGCTGCTGAGCACACAAATAATTACCACATAATCATCGGATGCTGCAATGAACACAACTATAAGGACCCCTCCTAAGTACCTCCTTTGTTCAGTATCATTGTAACTTTGAACAGTCGCTGAATGAGTGGACTGCTGCATTTAGTTTCATATGTTTAATAAAATGTTCCAAATAAAAATGTGAGAAGCAGCTAATGAACCATATTCAGCCTGCCATGACCAATATAGTTGATCTGTCATCATATTGAAACATGTCGGGACAAAAAAAGCAGCATCAGCAGATAGGAACTCATACATAATAAAAATGGAAATCAGAAACCTGCTGAGGTGAAATAAATCTCCATTAGCCATGAGAGATAGAATGATCATTCTAATTGAGAAACGACAATGGAAGAGATGTAGATGGAGCAAATAACCAGATCTCCTCGGATATTTGAGTCTTCAGGTTTGGATCTATTTATATCTGGTTCATAGTATCTCCCTCAGACATATTCTCTCTCATTTCCCTTTTTGCTACTTTGTTTTCAATCATAAACAATATTGCTAGTGTGAATAAATTGAAGCTGACAGGAAAACATTTAATCAAAGCTATCTTCTTTAAAAGGCTCCAATCATCAGATGTAGATTTTTTTTTAAATGTACTTTTAGCCAAGACATAATTTAAAAAAAATAAGGAATAGAAAGAACAATTCATACTTTTTGGAAAATTGATTATAGAGAATATATTTAAGTACATTTTTCACTTGGATATCGCTTCTGGATTGTGTGCCTGTGATGAAAAAAAAATGAAGTGCTGACTTTGGTTTCGTCAATCAGAAAGATTTGTTATTCTAGAAATAGCTAGTGATATGCAAATGTGAAAAAGCAAAAAGTTGAGGCTGGAGTGTTTTTATCTTGTACTGTGCTAAAAAAAGTTGGAAGTCAGTGTCTTTTTTCTTCTTTTTTCTCCCTTGTACCTCAGACTTCCTTTTCTCCTCTCTTTTTCCTTTCCCTAATTTCCTATTTATATTTTTCTCTGTGTTTTATATATTAAATAAATACATAAAAGGAAAATTGATTAACTTCCACCAAGTACCAAATATTCATAGGCCAAAGAGCCGATGTACTGTACATACAGATAATATTTTGCTTTGCTTGTAATTACAAGCAAAGCCACTAACAAAAAAGCTTTATTCAAAATGCAGGAAAATGAACACCTACCTCAATGACTGCAACCCCCGTGCACACCCCAAGGATGATGCCAAGGTTGTCTTGTAACCAATTCTGCACACCTTTCATACATCCCTGGAAGATACGTACCACATCTGATTTAGCAAGATTATAAGATTATGGATAATAACTACCAAAAGCAGGACAGTGTTCTTGAGCTAGAGCACAAGTACTTTTGAAATATTTTCTATTTATAATGACTATTCTGGATAAGGCCAAAAGAAATTAGAAAGCTATTATTTTCTCTTTAGTCTAGGATTCTCTTATCTCTGACAAGCAGGGATTTTTTTCCAGGATATCTTATTTCCTTACTGCTGGCTTGTGACCCAATTAGATTCCAAAGGGTTGTTGGACACTGAATTTGAACCATACCCATCAGAAATATTCCTGCACTAGAGCAGGGGTCGCCAACCTTTTGGAACTCAGGGATCACCAAACTCATAATTTTAGATCCCAGGGACTACTAACTGGTTTTGTGGGCGTGGTCTAATTTGTGGGTATGGCTTGGTGGTCATGGGACTGCCTGGGCATGGCTTGTATGTAAATATTATAAATATTTATATAAATATTGATTTTTTTTATAAAAAAGAGCAACTTTTACCCAAAATCAGGCAAAGCAGGCAGGCAGATTGAGTTGCTCACAGAATTACAGATTCATTCAGAAATCTATCTATCTGCCATTGGATAGCTCAGTCTGTCACATAAAATTTGCTTGTGAGCAAACTCACAAAATTAACTCACAACACACCATGCATGTAAATATTGAATCTTTTATTTTTAAAAAAGCAACTTTTACCCCAAAGCAGGCAAAGCAGGCAGGCAGATTGAGTTGCTCACAGAATCACAGATTCATTCAGAAATTTATCTGCCATTGGCTAGCTCAGTCTGTCACATAAAATTTGCTTGCAAGCAAACTCACAAAATTAACTCACAACACACCATGTATGTAAATATTGATTTTTTTTAAATAGAAAAGCAACTTTTATCCAAAATCAGGCAAAGCAGGCAGATTTGAGTTGCTCACAGAATCATTCAGTGATCTATCTATCTGCCATCGGCTAGCTCAGTCTCTCAAATTTGCTTGCTGTGAGTCTGCACTGAATTTGCTTGCAGGCAAACCTTCAATCCTAAGGGAGGTTTGGCTGTGCTTAGCTAGAAAGCAAGAAATCCAACCATTTCCTGCTCCCTAGCTAATCTAAATCTCCTGGAACAGCAGATGATGGTCGGAAAAAGGAAAAATAGCAACTTAGCAGACAAGTTTGCTGGGTAAGGAGTGAGTGGGCGGGGAGGGTTCCAGCGGGCCATGTGGACTGAACAGCTTTGTGTTTCTAGCAGCCCGGATTAATTGCTTTGAGGGGGGGGGTGCTCTGGGGCTGAGATTTCTCTGCGGCCCACCAAAATTTTCTCAGGACCTATGGGTGGTCCGCGGCCCACTGGTTGGCGACCGCTGCACTAGAGGAAAAAGCAGCACTTATATATTCCAAGCAAAAAACTAAATTTTGGAGCCAATAAAGTAAACTTAAGAACTGCATAGTATAAAAATCTTTTCCAGGATTTTGTCACTAAAATGCCATTATCGGAATGCGTCTTGGAAACTCATAAAGTATACTGCTACGCCAAACAGCAAACGCCAAAACTTTTGTTTTTGGAGTATATACTATGTCTATGAACATTAGCATTTGTTCTAATGGATGCATTTGTTGAAATCAAAATTGTGTATGAATATGTAGCAGGCTACATAAATGACCGATAAGATAGGAGAGATTGAGGCAAATAAAATGGGCTTCAAAAGTGCCTCTAAGAATTAAAATGAAAGATAAAAAGGCAAAATGGATTCTCAGAATGACAGGGTGAATGGGCAGTCTGTAATCATGTCAAGGAGATGTCCATGGTTACATCCACTTTCAACACTTTCCCTTCAACCAGGAAGATCAACTAAGATCAACTCAAAAGTCATTAAAAAGAATGAAAAGAAATATTTTATATTGTCCTCCCAAAAATCTTTCAGACCAAACGCCAAACAAAATGAGATGAAGGGAGGAAGAGAAAGAAAGCAGGTAAACAAAAGCTGGTAGCATTTTTTTTCTCTGTTCTTTTAAAATCAAGAGATCTCTGGACAGAACTTCCCCAAATGAGACACTCACCTGCTTTTTAACTGGCCAGTCATCCGTTGTTGTAGAGTTGGAAATAATATCCAGGAGGCAGAAACCCACTTCCGCCTGCGAGTTAGAGGAGTCATTGGAGCAAGAGCAAGGATAGAATGTCTGGTTTTTTCCCTGAAGAGCTGTGTTGTTTTTCCAAGTTTCTGGCCCAGTCCAACCACAGCATTGTAGCTATGTTTAAAGGAAAACAGCACCTTGTTACTTCCTGTTCAGTGTCACGGGGCCATTTTGTCAACTATCGAAAGGACTCTAACTGAAGCCATAAAAATTCCTTATTTCCTTTCTCAGTTGCCATGCTAAAGGGGGAGGGAGATTTGTGGAACGTAGAATGTTTCCTTTTAGAGTGCCAGACATAACACTGATAAGGCTCTTGAGAGCTAAAGCTGACCCAGCGTATCCTAGCAACGGCAGGAGGGGAGTACCAAGACCTGTTTGGTTGGTTAACGTGATCTGGGACACAAAGTGGGGTGGCCAGTATCTATATTTTAATTATGCCAAAGTGCGGGAACTATTCAGAGTTGGCTTGACTTTTGAACCTACCGGTATGATATGCCCAATAAGCAGGATCTTTGAAACAGCAACAGCCTCAGAGTTTTGAACTAATTCATTGAGAGCATTACTCAGAACTATGACACGTTTTGCTTGAGAAGATTTTTCTGCTTCTCTTTTCATCACTATTACATTTTTTTAGTGGTACTATCTCGCTCAATAAAATTCTATGTGTAGCATACAATTATTTAAAAAAGAAAACACCAGCAAAAATTGCATGGACTTGTCCATGTACTTGCCAGGAGTCAAAACAGACAAACAAAACAAACCACACCTTCACCATAATATAGCAAAATTCACTTCTCCTTTACAATCTAAGGTAATAAAATCAAGCAGAAAATACGTTAATTGATTCAATAAATAAGATAAATAAGATGAAGTTACCTATTTTGTGAGTTTGGAATGAATTTTAAGGAGGAAAAAAAATAGTAGCAAGTCTCATAAAAGCAGAATCATTCTCTTCACCTTAGTCATATTGAAGGCAAAATATATCAAAGGTTAATACCTGTAGGATCCTTACCTTTACACCACCGTGTAAAATGTACCTCTGTTAATTCTACAGAATTCATTTCAACCTCTACAATTAACAAAATGTCATCAAAACGTCCCTCTTTTAGACATTTAAAATGATTTCTTTTGCCACACTAGAAAAATAAGCAGGAGTGGGTTGATTTTTTTTCCTTTGGATAACTTTGGGAGTAATTTTATGTGGGTTGGGCAGCTGTATAAATTTATTTAACAAATAGATGGGATCAATAAATAAAGATGGGATCCTGTTAGGTGTGAGATAGCATATTTTGTAGCCATTGTTACAATTGTTATTATTAAAAATGAGTAGGTCTTTCATATGAAAGCACATCCCAACATATGAAACTACTTCACCTGTCTGGAAATGTGAGAAGTCCATTGTGATAGGACTGTGTCTGACTAGCTTCAAAAATGGTGCTATTAATAAGAACTACAGGGATACCTCAAGGGCTTCTACAGAAATGGCTTACAAATCAACTGGCAAGGCTGCTGACTGTGAAGCTGCCTCCCTATAAGATCTATTAAGAATTCTATAACCAAAATGGCATTATATACAATGAAACTGGATGCAACTTTTCCAGCACACCATTTGCTTATGAGTTTCCTATCCAGTTTCAAATGGAGGGTAACAATTGTAAAACTCAATGTAGCCATCAAAAAAAAAGAAGATGCTTTCATAATGTTGTATATTCTTCCACTTTGAAGAATATACAACATTGTTAATTCTCACTCAATGGTATTCTGGAACAGCAGGCAATTAGATTTCATTCTGCTTGAAGATCCAATGTAATGCCCTGAATTGCTAGTTCTTTGAAAGTGATTGAAGAAGTATGTTATAGAGGCACTTCCCAGCCTCACTCATAAACACCAGCTTGAGAGTTATTTCCTTAGCATGAAAAAAGCCAATTGTTAAGAATAGCCAGTCACCAAAAGATGGAGCTCTCCTACTATTCTTTCCTCTTAGCTTGTGGTTAAAAAAGGATTTTATAAAAAGTTGGCAAGACTTTTCATTTGTGAAGAAAGACCAAGTAGGCCTTAATTATATAATATACTGTACTGTATGTAAATAAGAGTCAATTCGCTGTTGGGAATAGAATATATATTTAGAAACCTGCTGAAAATGGTAATAGTAATCTATGCAATAGCTACAAAACTGTGAGAAAAAATTGTAACTGAGAGTTTACTTAGCCCTAACTAGCTAAAATGAATTTCATTATTTCATTTCTGGTTTACAAAGACCATAACTCCATGTTCTGTTCTGACTTGGAGACAATCTACAGGTTTTTGTTTTATGGTAAAACACACATTAGTCTGTGAACTAATAGCTCCAATTAAAATATCCCCAATTGATTTAGGAAGAAACCAAACTCAAATTTCTCTCATATTGAATGAATGCAATATAATCTCTAAGACAGAGTGATGAGAGTATGAGTGGATAAAGAACGTATTAAACACCGATGTCCAATTAATCTGACTGTATTGGTATAAAAGTGATTTTAAGCTACAGATTTTAAGCCTGATACATGCTCTCTCTACCCCTACCCCCTGCCATGTCTATTAGAAGAGACAGTTGGCCTAGAAAAGACTACAAATTTGCAGAACATCAAATCATACTCGGCAAAGAATAATACTATCAATTTGGAGGCTGCTTCTGATGTAGGGTAAGCAGCTTCCCTTATCCAAGGAAAACCACTGACTACATTTAACAGAAGTCTTCAGCTATACTTAGGTTTGTTAAGAAGCCCAAACAAGTTCTGCACCACATTTTAATACAGCCTTATTTGACTAAAGAAAAATTATATATGTGCTTTTTAATTCTCAGATGAAGAAATGGAACAGCATTTACCCAGATGTACAAAACAGTTTTCCTATTAGAAGACATTCTGATCAACAGAAGAACTTTGGTTTTGGAGATGACTCCTGAGAATACTATAGCAAAGAAGAAGGGAAAATAACCCCAAAACAAATGCATCATAGAATAAATCAATCCAGAACTCTTTTTCAGAGCTCAAGTGACCTGGGTCAAATTATCATGTTGAGTATTTTATGCAAAATGAAAAACTTAACAGTATAATGCTAGAAAAGGAAGGATAGAAAAAAAGAGAATGGCCAGGAACAAGGTGGATGGACTCAGTTACAACAATAATGGGTGCACCATTGGAAAACCTGAAGGACCAGATTAGGAACAGATCATGTATGATTATTAAAAGACAACACCAACTCGATGACACATAATCCAGCTCTTTATTTGTATCCTACAAATATCTGGACCAAGTCAATATAACTGGTAGCTTCTTAGAGCTAAGTAGTCCCAGTCTTATTTTTGTTGGCTTCTTACCAACCAGATGCTGTGATAATCTGAAACTATATTAGATGGCACTATAGGCTACATACAGAAGAACTGGTGTTTAGGCCCTTGGGTAAGAATGACAGGAGTACAGGGATGGTTGCTGTCAAGAGCCATCAGTAGTAAGCATATTATGGTGGCCACCAGTATAAACCTTAACAATGTATACAAACTGTGTCATTGAATGATTCAGGAGTCCTGGTTTATGTGAAGCCTACAATTAAAAATATGAAATAAACTGTGTCTGATTTTATAAGAAAACTGTCTGTGGACCTTGAATGGCAACAAGTTTTCACATATGGAACTCGCTAGTAAATGCGGTCACAGTGTTGAAAATGTATATATAAATACACTGCCACGATGCAGCTTTGCACCCTGTAGTAATTGAACACGTGGACAATTCAGGCATGCTTCGTTTTTCTGTGGTAACACCCGAAGTAGATCTCATGCACAGGACATGCCAAACTTTACATCTGGCAAATTAGATATTGCATAATTATTCACACATGTCAATGGATCCATATTCTCCACACATGTTCAATTTGAATTGGACTAGGATTTGGGAAATTCAGGTTCAAGTCTCTGCTCAAGTAAGAAACTCAGTGATCTCGTATTTCCATCTAATCTAAGTCACCAAATTAAAAAATAAAATACAAAGAGGAAATTATGTATACTGCCTTGAGCTTCTAAAGCAGCATTTTTCAAACTTGACTGCCTTAAGATGTATAGATTTCAATTTTTAAATTCCCCAAGTTGAAGCCCATTTTCTGGGAGTTGAGGTCCATATATCTTAAAGAGGCCAAGTCTGAAAAACACTGCTCTAGAGAAAAGATAGGTTGAGATTGCAGTGATTGATTGAATAAGTTCCTTGGATATACAGTAGAACTCTGTATCATGAGCATTGTTTGGTGAAAAGAGATTTTAACAAATGAGTACCTCAACAGTATCTCCTGCTTGTACCTCTGTATTGTGCATCTTGAGAACAATACCAGAGGAAAACAAAAAGACCGTATATTGATGATATGACCCACTCTATGAAAGCAACTTGTTTCTCATATTTAGAACTTGTGTTTGATTCATAAGGTTCTCTACCCACTTACTTCTGCCTGAAGCCAATCTTCAAATATCAATATTAGTTTATGATTAAATTAGATGAAAATGAATGTTACTATTCTCATTCAAGAAAAACCTTACCGTATGTATTATTGACAATACCACTAACTATCTCATTAACTCTTGCATGGCAACTTACTTGTAACTGGACATAGTCCCAAGCATTTTCAAGGGTCTTATTATTGTCGTCAGAAGGATTGTAATTCTGGACAAGTTCACTAACGATCCCAGACATTTCTGCTTCAAGCTAGTAAAAATAATACAAAAACATAATTAAGCACTGGTCTTGTGATTATTGATCCCATCTTACATTTGAAGATATATAAATTATTTGAACTTTATTCCATAATAAGGGAATCTTTTCCTTTTTCCCCTAGATGTGTCTTCCAGAATGTCCTGCAAGTAAAAACTGGAGGGAGGGAAAGAGAAGAAACAATAACAACTTTTTTCTCTATCAACAAAAAGAAAGTAAGGGACAAGTCAAAGCATTTCACTCAACACTACAAACCATGTCTAAGATGTGATGAAATAATTGTTAGCTATTCTATTAGTATCTTAAGAACAAGTATGAATATCAGTCAGTTGGTGCTGAGCACTAAACTCACAGGATTCATATTCTGGCAATTAGACTATATGGCAATCACAGAATAAAGAAAGAAACACAAGCAACAAAAACAAGTTCTTGCAAAACAGAGTTGCTGTAAAATATTGCCAACTGCTACAGATTTGGAAAGAAGGCAGCCATCTGTCTTTTTGTTTTTAGGACACATGTCTGAGCAAACGGCAAAAATCTCCTGCGGTGTGAACCCTAGCAAGTGTCAAGTCAGCAAAATGCAAGCTCATCTCTTGAGCTATGAATGGCACAAGTGTCTGGATTACTATCTGCCGGCTGAGAAGATGATGTCAGACAAGAACAGTAAAATGTTTCACAATTTCCTCTTGGTGAAACTGGAAATTACCACAAAGGTCAAAAGTTTCTATTAAGAATTAACTTTCAAGTCAAACTGCAGTCCATGCTTTCAATTTTTACTTAGTCTACTAGTGTCAAAAACTAAGGTATGCCTGATTCCACACAGAAAAATGTAAAAGGAATGAAATTTATAGTTACTTAAGTATCATGCAAGGTTGCTTTTTAAAAATTATATCACACCATGTTAAACATAGAGGGTCTTATTGTAATTGATCAGGGTAAAATTTGACCTTTTTCAATTTGCTATAATATGGACTTGATAAGAAATGTAAATGTTCCTGTCCAGTAAAGACATATTATGATCAGGAAAATTTACATTAGCATGAGCTCAGGACTATTTGCTTTTTGAAAATGCATTAATGTTAGACACTATGGGCACTAAATGGGAGAATTTTTTTTTCTTTTTCATTTACTGCAGTGCTTATATTTTCCTTTCATGATGAAGTATTGGGCAGTTTACAATTCTCATTTTCAGGATGACTGACAAATGTTGGTTTTCTACTGTCATATGACAATGCTAAGGCAACCTATGAAAATCTTACATAAATTAAACCTGAAAAATATTTTCTGAGGAACATGGAGAAACCCAGAAACCTTTTCCTCTAATGCTGGCCTATCAGAGCAGGAGCATAGAGATGAATATGCAGGAAGCACTGCAATATCAGTTTGTGATATTTTCAACCTACATTAAATGAATTTTCCATCAGCTATTTTAACAAACGTAAATAATTTGCACAAATTGAGTACTGGCTAGTGAACTCTATGACTGAATCTAGGTTTGAAGAGCAGCCTAACAATATATATTTCTGAATGGTATAATTACATGAATGGGTCTTTAAGTAACTTGGAGAAAACTTAATTCAAAGATAGTTTAAAGATTAATAGGGATCCACCAATGAATCTTATAATTCATTCAGCTTAATTCATAAATAAGCTCTAAGCAGACTCATGAAGTTTTAAAGCAAGCATTATTGGGGGGCGGGGGGGGGAATGCCTCTATGTTTCTGAATGAAAATGAAGAAACAATATATGGAATTTAGCAAATTCTTCCAGCCTAAATGCTGAAATATGGAATATGAGTCAACCCAGTGTAAGACAGGACAGCTGGCTGCTTTCACACCCAGCTATCACATTATAGTAGAAACTTAGTCAACTTTCATAATCTAGAATACTGGGAAGGAGAACACAGTCTGGTATTCTAAACCTCTCCTGCCAACAGAATCTACATTTAGTTTCCTCAGAGGTTTCCCCACAATAAGCAAAAGAAGAAGAAAAACAAGGCTTCATCAATTCCTGTTATTAAAGGAAGCCTGAAGAAACATATGTAGCCTTCCATCTTTACTACACATATACTAAAACCAAAACCTTGATGGAAGGGGGGAAAAAGGGAGGGGGGAGAAATGAGTGACAGAAGCACTTACAATCTATTGCCAGGAACAAATTTGTGCAAAACCTCCCAGATTCCACAAGTAGAATTTCCCAACTATCGCTCACTTTTTCCAATATTACGCATTATTAAAAGTTCTCCTGACTAGACTACACACATAAATTCACTACTCTGCACTGCCACATTGTTCTCTTCTGTAAGTCAAGATATTGAGGGGAAGGGGATCTAAAAATATACGATTGTCTTTAATTTAAACTAAATTTAAATTTAATTTAAACTAACTTCAGCTTGACTACTCTTAGGTTCTGTTATTATCTCCATAACACAACTTGCAAAAAAGGTTGGAGAAAAATTAGTACATTTTTAAACAAAAATTGATATGTAATTTGGCATCAGAGCAGTTTTTACTCAGATTTTAGTATGCTTTACAGATTAATATTTTAATTTCTTTTTTTATTAGAGGTTGCAGCACAACATTCAAAGAAGTATAACTATTGAAATATACTGTTATTTCCTCTCATGGTTTGCAAAGTGCAAATTAAGTTTACATTAAAATGTAAACTCAACATTCAAGAATCTGATAGTTTTGCAGATGAGTAAATGACTAAAATTGGGTTGCCATTTTAACTGGTTTTTTGTTGTCTCTGGACATTAAAGGCAAAATTGATTTCTTTTCTTGTTTGAACATTGAAATTCTACACAAGCCATATGTAACATCTCAAAATAGCAAATATGGGTACAGAGATTACTAAGATTATAAACCAAAAATTAGAGGTTCTTTCTAAGAAGTGGGATAGTGGAAAGAAGCATATTACAAGAGAGAAAAGTACTCTGAATGCTTTATACACATATTTCAAGCCTTCAGATTCTATTTTTTATTTATTCATTCCTGTAGTGGATTTTGTCCACTTTTACTTCTTCTAGAAACCTACTTTTTTGGGCAAGTTAAACTTTTGTTGTTGCTTCATTTCTTACCCAAAATTCTCAGGATATATTTACTGTAGTGGTTTTCTGAACCAATACTGAACTGTTTTGAATTTTAAATTTGAATTTTGTATAATTTCACAGTCTTGTTCAATTGAACTTGCATTACTTTTAATGGAAAACCATGTAATAAATAGTAAAAGTAGGCCGAGTATTTCTATTCACATTTATCCAGATTTTTTGTCCAGTGCAACTGTATATAACAAGCAAGAAACTAGTTATTCATTGTTTCCCAGTTTATTAATATATCTTTTAAGCAAAGAAGGCTTTGAGCAATTAATCATTGTTAAATTCTAGGTGATTAACAAAAATTAGCTATTGAAAAAACTCTCCTTAAATTCTATAAAATATTTACAGTTAGTTGGTGTCTACACTGCTTTTTCTTTCTTTTTTCTTTCTATTATTTGCTGCTTAATTTTTGGTCTTAGTTCCTGGTTTTAAGAATGACAGTAAGCTGTTTTGAAAACAGGAATTCAAAATCCCCTAAATAAAGTTACATGCTTTTTTTTTCTTAAATATTTTCCTAAGTACATATTAAGAAATTCAAAAATGTAAAAAAAAAACCAACCAAAAAAATTAGTTTTAGTTAACTCACACCTAATATTTATAGTTCTGTGATTCTTGCTGTTGTAAATTTTGTAACAGAAAGTACCAGATTATCAAGTCACATATATCATTTTTCTATCTAATCAGGAACACACAAACACCAGTTTTATTTTTATCACTTCATGCAAATACAACGAACAGTAATAACTCCAACCCAAATGAAGAATGTCAGATTGGAAGAGTTAAAGAGTGCTTTTTAAAAAAACAATGACTTTATAGTGATATTTGCTGAAAAACTGCATGTCTAAATCTTGTTTTTAAGACATTACTTGGAAATGCAGAAGAATCAGAACAACACAACTTCAGCAAGGAAAGAAATTGGGAAACAAAATTGTCACTTACTGCATTCCTCTGGAAATAGATCAGCAGGCCGGCAGCTATTTGGGCTATGAGAATCAGCAATAGGCAAGTAAAATACTGCAAAACAAATGAAAAGTTTTTCTCACATTTGTGACATTAGTACTTGGTATATAGATAGTCCTCAACTTACAACAGTTAGTTTAGTGACCGTTCAAAGTTACAACTGCATTGAAAAAAAGTGACTTATGACCGTTTTCCACCCTTGCGGTGTGGAGACGATAACTTGGTCCTCAACACCAATAAGACCAAGGAGCTTATAGTGGACTATAAAAGGAACAGATCAGACATCCAGCCCTTGCTTATCAATGGAGACCGAGTGGAGCAAGTGGCCAGTTTTAAGTTTCTGGGTGTTACCCTAAAAGAGGACCTGAACTGGGGTGCCCACATTGCAGCACTGGTCAAAAGGGCCCAGTAGAGATTATACTATCTGAGACTTCTCAGAAAACAACAACTGAATGAAAAATTGCTGGTGACCTTCTACTGCTGCACCATAGAGAGTATTCTAACGTACTGCATCTCTGTATGCTTTGCCAATTGCAGAGTGGCAGATAGGAAAGCACTCCAGAGGGTTAACGTCATTGGCCAGAAGAGCACTGGTTGCCCTCTCCCCTCTTTGGAAGAGCTTTATAGCTCCCGCTGCCTTAAGAAAGTTCAAAACATTCTCAAAGATCCATCTCATCCTGGGAACCCTTTTTTTGAATGATTACCATCTGGCAGACGGTACAGAATAATAAAAACAAGCACAAATAGGCTGAAAAACAGCTTCTATCCCAGAGCAGTAGCTCTTTTGAATTCTACTGTATAGTAGTGTTGGTGTGGTGTTGCGGGTTTTCGGTTCAATGTGTGGAGTGTAAAGGATGTGTGATTGTGTTTATTTTCATGGTCATGATGTGCCCAGAAGATGGTGTTTGATTTCGTTGTACGAGGTGCAATGACTAAACTAAACTAAACTTACAACCATTTAACTTACCTACAGTTACCTGAATAAAATTCAGATGCTTGGCAACCGACTCAAATTTATGACAGCTGCAGTGTCCTGGGGTCATGTGATCACCTTTTGTGACCTTCTCACAAGCAAAATAAATGTGGAAGCCAGATTCATTTATCAGTTGTGTTACTAACATAACAACTGCAGTGACAACGGTGACAAGAAAGGCTGTAAAATGGAGCAAAACTCCCTTAATCACTATTTTGCTTAGCAACAGAAATGATGGGCTTAATTGTGGTCGTAAGTCAAGGACTATCTGTACTACTTCACAGGTGGAGTTCTTCAAGGGGACGGGAGGAGGGGGGGGGGGTCCTATGGAAGACAGTACAACCAGATGTAATAGGAAGCTTCAGCTACGAAGCCAGAATGCTTTCTTGCCAGGAGCCCAGTGAGTATCTGCTGATGTATCAGAAAGAGATTTATTTCCATTTTCTGCCTGTCAGAGCACAATAAGCTAACAGAATTTGCTAAGCTTGCTTCCATGAGGTGCTTTAATGGAAACCTGGCACAGGTTTAGACAAGGTATCTGAACAGGTCTGAAATAGTGCCAGAGTCTCTATGGATCTTTTCCATCCTCCCTGAAGACTTTCAGTCTTTCTCCCGAGGAAGAGAAGTTGCTGGTAGAGAGAAGACATTCTGGGGTGGGATTGCAGCCTTCTGCCTCTACTGTAAGATCCCTCCTTACAGGGCAATACTGGCAATTTTGGAAAGAATGTGGGAAACATACTGTTTTATCACCTTCTTTAAAACTAAAGATGGTAATTACAAATATGCAAAACCTAATGAATCTATAAGTATTCATTAAAAAACAAAACAGCAACATCAAAATCAGCCAGTTTGCAAATTGGACCTCCAAAGGACTGTAAGTGTAGTATTCCACAATCAGGTTGCAACCACAGAATGGGCTCCTTCTGTAACAACTTCCAAAGATATACTGTATACCGAGATGCCACAGATATGGCAATTTTTTGCATATATTCTGTGCTTTCTAGATGCTTCTCTATCACTTGTGACTTGTAGCTCAAAGCCAGAAAGACTTTACCGGCATCTACATGTACTGCTTACCAGTCCCAAGAGGCAGCGAATCTCATTGACCGCTCCAACACAGCCCAGGAACCCCATTAACATGGTGAGAGCTCCTACTGCAGTAAGAATGTATGCTCCAACTTTTGAAGTTGATGATGAGGTCTCTGTGGAAACCCAAGGGGGAAAAAACTACATATAACAGATGCACATTTATTATGTTCCAGCAAAGCAAGATAATTGTTCAAGAGAGATAAAGCACTCTGCTTTAAGTTCTCTAGCCAAGAAATCAAAACACTGGACAACGAACAGCTAAATCCTATTACATGCATTGCACTGGAAACTGAGCACTCACTTATTGGTCATGTGATTGTGAGGAAATGAACACATAGCTGTATTTTAAAAGAATGGTCCAGAGGAAGGGGAAGGAATTGACCCAGAAGGATGTGAAGAAATTGAAAATGCATTCTAGTGTTCAGGGAAGTGAAAATGTAAGTCCTAATTGGTAGGTTTGCTTATACTAGCTGACTTAGGAATACTGGTTAGTGCTTCTGAGATGTTAATAAAACAGGAAAGGATTATTAGCCATGGTTGGAAGTTAGCATGTCTTTTCCAGATTTCACATAATGATCAATTCTTATTGACTTACGTTTGGATGACCACTTTTGTATCCCCTAGCACTAATCATGCTAGCTGGGGTTGATATAATATCCAGTTCAAAAATTGGTAGGAATACCACATAATCCACCTTTGACTTAAAGCACATGTGAAATATTCAGCAATGTTCTGTTTTTAAGATGTTCAACTTCAGAGCAGTACCCAGTTGGAAATTCTACATACTTTGACAAGCCTGTCCCATCAAATGGTGCTGTCTTTTTAACAAAGTGGCCTAAGCAGAGCTTTTTAGACCATCCTTGCAGAAAGTCAGTGCCTCAGCTGGGCTCTTGATCTGTAGCACTTTTTGGTTTGTTGAGAAAAATTTCCCAGACTTTGCTGGCATAAGGCTACAAATTTCTATTCTCTCTTGCACAATTTTTCCTCTACTTTTTTTTTTCTGGGAAAAATTCCAGACTAGCACAAGAGGGAGGCCTTTTTGGCAATAGAATGGAATGCCCTGCTGTGTCAAGTTCCTTCCCAAACTCTCTGTTAAGGTTACCAGGGAAAAGGGGGAGGAGGAAACAAGAGAATTGAAAAAAAGAGTCCATCTGGAAATCTCTGGGAAGGAAACAGGAATCTCTGCATGCACAATGTGATTACAAGATAGAAGAAGAAAACTTTTTTTAAAGGGTGCTTGCATATTAAAGGCTCCAAGAACACAGTAGCAATAACTGAATTACTTTGATTCACCTAGCCTATAGTATTATAAACATTTGGTTTACAGATCATAAGACAAAACCAGAACATGTTCTAATTCTTATTTTACTGTTTAAAACTGTAGATGAGTATTAAAGGGAGATGGGAAGGAGACATGGCTTCATTCAACTTGCCATTTTTGTGTCCGGCTAATTCTTCTTTATAGATAACATTGCAGAAGTGATCCAGCTAAGAATAGTTAGAAATGTAAATACAGAAAGCAGAAATAGCACATACTGTTAACAGGAAAGTATCTTTTTTTTAAATCATTATGAAATCTGCCAACTTCTGAAAACTACCCTCACATTTCTGCTAAAAGGGGTAAAAATTATCATGAAAATAATTTTACAAGGATAATGCCCTTGGTCTGACCTGATGTAGTCTCAGCTGATTAGCTTTTTCTAAATCTACAAGGAAGCCATCCCTGCTTTGGACTAAGGTCTAAAGATGGACTGCTTTGGACTAAGGTCTTCAGATGTACAGTGTTTCCTGTTGGAATTTATTTTCAAAGGCAAGAAAACTATACATAAATCAATAGGAAAATTTAAAATTGTCTTACGTAGAACTGAAATGAAGCTTGTTGTGTCCACCAAAATCCATATTCCAAAACCTAGGATGACAGCACCCAGGATCTGGAAAAGAAAATTCAGTTACTTAAAAAGATCATATAAATCTTAAATTTTGTTTCATGAATTTGCATAACAGTTTTAATGATAAGTGCATCCAAAACAGCTCACAGAAACAAAACCTAAACTTTGAACTATGGGGAAAATGGAAATAGGGTTACAAACTACAATAAGTCATACTTTTTTTAAATTCATGCCTTTATCAAAATTATTTCTATAACGGGTCAGGGTGAAACATTTCCAGCAGTAAAAGACAGATGGTGACTATGAAAACATGATGTTTTTTTAAGGAGGGGGAAAATCTATTTAGTCTTTCCAATACATGTGACAAATATATTGAACCCAGTCATGTCTTGAGTATCAGAGAGATGACGCACAGACATAGCTAAAAATAAGAATTAGCACTGACTTGGTACTTACTCAACCAGAGAATCTCTAACTTACAGCTTTGCCAGAACTCTTCCAATTTTCTCATTAGGACAAGCATTCTCTTTAACATAACATTAAAAATTGGGGAAACAAACAATGACTGCCATTTTTCTATTTTCATATCACAGTTCTTCTCTCTTTCCACCCACCCCCACCCCATTTTGGGGCTTCTAGAATCATACAAATGTCTCTGGGCACTCAGGAAAATCCCTATTTATGATGTGCAATTCAACAAAGGTAGCTTACAGTTCCATTCAGCCTTTACAGCCAGTGAAGCTCCCTGTTTCAGTTAAAGAGTGACATACCTAAACAGAAGTATAAACTAATTGCTGAGATCATCACATTTTCTTTTCAAATGAGATCTTTTTTTAGAATTAATACTTAGATTTTAAATGAATGGAGAAGTGTGCTTTAATTTTCTACATGGGTAACCAATCCACCATGCAAACCTTCCTGAACAGGTACAAACTCAAATATTCAGTGAGAACTAATTTCAAGTTTAAAAGAATTCAAATGACCAACTGCCTGCAAAGAATATAAATCCTTCCATTCCCCACCATCCAGTCAGAACTGAAGAAGCTTCTTGGATGAGAAGCAAAACGTCTTCAAAGAAAAACCAGAAAGTCCAGTTGCCTCTTGAAAAATGCACCTTTGGGATGACCATGACCTGGATGACTGAAAATCTCCATAGACATTCAAGTTTATAATTTGCTGTGCACCTCTACTTTTAAGGCAGAAGAATTAGATGACAGCTATGTGCATAGGCTTAGCAACATTCCATAAGTTCTCAAACATCCCTTCTCTTTCTAGCATGTCATTAAACTCAGACCGATTACTATACTTATAATAAAGTACACAATGAGTTACACCCTTTGTATGAATGATAAGAATACAAGGAAACAGCTAAAGGACAACTAAACATGTATAATTGTATAGAAACAGGAAGCAACTCTGCAGTCCCTTACAAAGGATATTTATGCTAAATATTTGCCTACCAAACAAATTCAATGAGGCTACAAATCATACAACAGTCATACCAGCAGTAAATCCGATGGCACAGTGCCACATCTTGGCAAGCAGGTTGCAAACACACTGCAGTGCAGCAGTGTGCTGTAAATGGCTGCCAGCTGGCAAACTCCACCCATCATCATAAGTTGCCATCAGCACACAGTTGAGAACAGGGCAGCAATTATTATGCCGCTCTAACCCATTTTTACTCAGCTAATCGCAAAACATTCCTGGGGATGGATAAATAAATCTGGACCATTCTGTAGACTTCCATGTTAAAACAGAGTTCAGCTGCAGGACAATAAAGACCTCAACAATGGAGGAATCCCAATTCCATCACTAGAAAATAAAACTCAAGATTTCTTTGTATTACAGCTCCTCTGTATAGGGGATGAAATTGAATAGTGTTAAAACTGACAACTGTTAAATTGTATTTCAGGGTTTATTTTGTGATTAAATAAAAGCATCAGGATTTTGTAAATTGTTTCCTAGGACGAACAGTAAAGAAAAAAAAAGTATATTGTGTTTAACAGAATGAATAGCACAATGTTGCATTCCACAAGACATCAGAAAGGATTCATCTTAACAGAAACCAAAAGAAAAGTGTACCCTGATCCTTTTTCCTCCCTCCAACCTCAAATTCTCAAATTCTCCTTCCTTATTCCCATGATAAGGAGATTCCACTCTGGGAAATGTAAAATTCCAAATGAGGAATTTTTCACGGTTAGAAGACTTGCCCACATAACATGATACTGCAGTTATGGTCATTTGAGTTACAATCCTGGAGCAGTAACTAAATTAACCGTTTTGAACACAAGTGAGAACCCCTGCTATATTATACCCCTAGAAGGCTGTTTGTTGCCAAGCAAGAGAAAGAAAGCCAAATGCACAATGTCCTCCTTGGTGATCCTTGACTTCATTTAGTGACCATTCAAAGTTACAAAAGTGACTTACGACCACTTTTCACACTGATGGCCATTGCAGCATCCACATGGTCACAAGAGTTACATTTGGATGCTTGACAACTAGTTCATATGTATGATGGTTGCTATGTCCCAGGGTCATGTGATCAGTGGTGGGATTCAATTTTTTTTACTACCAGTTCTGTGGGCGTGGCTTGGTGGGCATGGCAGGGGAAGGATACTGTAAAATCTCCAGTCAGAGAGGTCTCCACTTGCCGGTTCTCCGAACTACTCAAATTTCCGCTACTGGTTCTCCAGAACTGGTCAGAACCCACTGAATACCACCTCTGCATGTGACCAACTTTTGTGACCTTCTGATAAGCAAGTCAATGGGGAAGCCAGATTCACTTAACAACCGTGTTACAAATTTAATCACTGCACTTAACAAATGTGGCAAGAAAAGTTGTAAAATGGGACAAAACTCACATTACAAATTTCTCACTTAGCAACATAAATTCTGGGCTCCGTTGTGGTCGTAAGTTGAAGACTACCTGTATAAATTGGACCATCAACACAATGTTGTGGTCTGCAATCTTAAAAGCTACCAGCTTCTCTCTTTTGGTCCATCCAGATTTTCTATTTACCTCTCCTAGCCCTCATACTGTCCACCCACCCTCATTTTTCCCATAAAGAATGTTAATGCAAAATTTGAGGTGCCTCTATCCTGTGCCTTCATCATACAATTTTGACCACATCATGGCAATTATTCAGGATTTGAGAAAAATACATGACTAATGCATTTTACAAAGGAAAATAGGTGACTAATTAAATTATAGCAGAGGGTTGTTGTTTTTTTAACAGCTGGGTAGGAATGTTTCCTCTCTGGAAAGAACAACAAATTTCTGAGCAAAAAAGAGTAGCATAAAAAAAGATGTACCAGAATTTAAATATGTAAATATGCCTGCAATGATATATGTAGTGGGACAATTTCATGACTTAAGAAAAACCTTTAAAAAAACCCCTCATACCTACTCATAATGAATTGAGAGAAATAGAACAGCTTTAATTTTGCAATGGGCAGAACAATTACAAGAAGTGTTGTTCCTTTAATGAAACACAGTATCGTGTTCAGCAAAAGCTTATGAACTAGAACACTAACAGCAAGAGAGAAAAAAAGAAAACACAAGGGCAGTTGAATACACTGATTCACTGTGTGGCAAAGTAGAGCTATTATATTTGGATTACAAAAATCTAGATGACTATTACATGACAGCAAAGAGACATTTCTTTATCTTGTTCGTAGGATTTACTGACTGTAAAAAATTTTGCAGCCTAGGTATAGTTATCCAAGAAACACTATGTGAAATATGAACAGCAATCTTCTTTTAATATTGCAATGTGCCAACAACACTTTAAAATGCAGAGACTAAGATCTTTCCAGCTGTGGTTCTGAAATGACTTGGATGCTGTTATTGCTTTGGTTGCCAAGGTTGTGTTTGTACACTACTTGCAATACTGTTGAGTGAAATAAGTTACACATTCATAAATAACATTCTGGCAAGTCCCCCAGAGTCTGTTCCCTGTGCCCATATGCTACTCCAGATAATATAAACTGTACTTTGGGACATGTGCAGAATGCTTCATGTGTACAGCTGAGACTGCTAGCCAGCCCTGCAGCTTTCAGTTTAAAAGCTAAACGGTCAAGAGGCTTTTTATAAATGTAATTGCTCATGACTCATATCTCCAGAATTACGGATAGATAATATCCATTATACCAGATTATGTGAAACAAGTTTTTGATTATAACTATGTCTTGGGTAGCCTTGAGGACACACTAACTCAAAAAGCAATAGGCTGAGTAAATGATCATAGCTTAGCTGCAACATAATGACCAGTAGACAAGGTGTGGTTTCCAAAACCCAACACTGAAACTCACTAGTGATGAATCCATCTGATCTAGTAGATTTCCTCTTAACCCTTCTGCAATGGATAGCAGTTATGTGTATAATGCATCAGGAGGGGCTTCTTACACCATAAGCATTACAAATTCCAAGATAGGGCTATCATCTCAAATTGTTTGTACCAGCAGTAATAAAGAGTAGTTCACATAGATACTTCTTTGATCATCATCGGATGAAAAAATAAATCCTCTGCACACTTGCCTGTGAACTCAATAAAATCTCATCACTGAGAAAATAAAACATTGTCCTATTAAGGTGTCACACAAATAAAAGTCTAGCTTGTTTATTAATTCATCATTCATTACCCACAAGATTCTGATTCAGATTCCTCTAGGCTGCCATGCCTTAAAATGGGATGAAAGCCCAGATTTCCAAATCTTAAGGCAAATGGTAGAGCCATGATAGGAGCCAAAGAGAAGAACCCCGGAAACCAGCTTCTTCCTATAGTCTAACCAGTGGAATGTCTTAATGGAAAGAATTCCAGTCGTCTATTCTCCTTGGGCTTCTTCCTCTCTGCTACTTGTTTCCCTCCTCAGCCAGCCCTCAAGAGACTTCCCACTTCTTTCTGTGCGTGCTGTGGGAAAATACTTTGCTGCTCAGCTCTGGAGTTATTCAATCACACAGCTTTCATCCACCTCCTGTCAGTTCAGAGCCATCTCAACAGAGCTCCAAGAACATACTTGGCTTCACTAACTAGAGTCAAAGG